TTTTTTTTTTTTTTTTTGTTAGTTTTCAACAACTTAAGCGTGTGCTAGCCTATAGGTTATAAGCCTAGGAGATACATATACGAAATAGTCTAATGAACTCATGCGTGCATATATGAACTATGTGTAGAATAGTATCATGCATCTAACCTTATTAGAAAAAATAAAATAAAGTTCAAGGAACAATTAAGAACGATCATGAAAAGTAGATCTCGCCAATGAACCATATTTTCTGACCTCAACAACAGGGTTATTGAGTATTTTGAAATATTCATTCCACGCTTATTATTTTCTAGGTAAAGACGAGTCTCATATATGAATGACGATGTCAACTGAGATAAAGCCACCGATCGTTGCATACAAACTTTTGCTGGCATGGCCTTATGTGCGGCTATGGACTTGAACAAGGACGCTGATATGAGTTTCGATATTTTTGCACTCGACGGCCACCACATTCACATTCGGCAAAGGGAGAAGAGTTGGCATCCACATCAACGGGTAGGCAGACATTGTCTTCAACATGGACGATGTCGTCCGTATAAGGGCATGCAAACTCTTCAATCAATTTTGTATGATTATTATTATTATTATTATTATTTAACAATATTATTAATTCATTCATGAACCTGATAGATGTTTAAATTTTGTATTATCATTATTTTACTATATTATGCCATTTATAATGTATGATATTATACATATTCTAATTTTACAACAGCAAAATAATTTTATACCATGCAATAATAACTTCATCAAAAGTCCCATTTAACATTTAAATATTCTGTTGCATTCTAAAATTTCAAAATTTAAAATCATGAAATTAAGATTTACGTCAATTGCTTTGAGATCCCAAGGAAACATTCCGTATAAAGAGGTGAAAATCTTTCCTGGCATCGAGCCAAAGGGTGGGCTAGGACTGTTAGAGTATCATTTTAAAGGTTGGAATTAAAGAAGAAATTCAACTCTAAAAAATAAAGAACCATTTGCTCAAACATAGAAACCCCATATGTATTACATATTACCATTTCAAAGTTCGGTCTTACACACGTTACTTGGCAATACAGCTGCCAAGACTACAACACTATTACACTACACTATACTACACTACGGTTAGTTAGTTAATATACTTCAGTTGAAACACAAGAGAGACAAACCTAGCCCTGTACAGAGGGTTCTCAAGTTCAGCTCCATATGGTTTATGAACCCCTCAGGCTAGATAGCAGAGCATCACGTCCTGCCAAAACGATCTGGAAAAAGCTGTCCACTTCATTAGTAAGCAAATGAAGATCTTCTGAAAGTTTCTCGGCCTTTCCTCGCAACTCCGATACAGCGTTTTCCAGCGGTTTAACTTCTTCAACTTCAGGATTCTCCGGGATTATTTTATGAAGATTGGCCACACATTGGTCGATAGCTTCAAGCTCCTTCAGGGGGGTAAACTTTCCATGTGAGTATGTACTTCTAATTTCATTATTTACATCATTTTGCAAGGAGGAGAAAGTTTGTCCCCATGAATATGTATCAGCAATTTTCAGATCAAAGAGTTTTGGGGAACCTAGGAAGGCGGAGGCAAAGACACTGCACATAAAAACTGTCTGTACCTTCACCCCGTATAAAGCGAGCATCAGAACCTTACCTTTGGCTGAGTTCTTTACTTTTGGAAGATCAAGTGATTCTCCAAGGCTGTCTAAGATTGCACAACAATTCTTAACTCTAGAATTTGAGGAGCTGATGTTCTGTTTCCATTGACCTAAGGAAGCACGGGCTCGAGCGAGTCGCTTTGACTCGGCAGAATCCAAATTATGGGTGACACATCGAAGCATGAGGTTGCTTTGGTTCAAGTGGGAAAGCTCTGAGCTAATAGCATTACAGACGTCAAGCAATTTCACACTGATGTCCAAATAGACATCGATCCACTTTTCATTCCAGTCCGGCACTGGGAGATCTAACTCCTTGATAAGAGTTTTAATATCACTGTGAGTTTCACAAAGCAACTCCATTGCTAATTTCATCCATGAAAGGCTAAGAACGTCATCTTTACTTGAAGGATGGAGCTTTCTTAGTCTTTCAGCTAGGCTTCTCTCAAAAGCATTCAATATGGCAGCAAGTTTAGAAGGCAAATTCGAACCTTTTGGAGATATCATGCGGAATGGGTTGCCAAAAGGGAAAAATTGTCTGGGGGGGGTCTGTGGGCGGCTCATTTTCGTGAACTATGAGCTCTTGATGCTATGTATTGACTGCCAAAAAGTATTAAACCACATTAAAAGGTTTTAACTTAAGATTAAAAGAGGTAGAATACTTCAGCCGTATTTTACATCAGGAAATAAAAAATTAATGATCCGAATATATAAAAGTTAGAATTACTTGTAAGCTCATTTTTTAGAGCATTGCATTTGAAACTTTTATCTACAATCAACAGCAGAAAAATCCGTATATCCAACTTCCTAGTAAATATAGGTAGAAAATGGAGAAATGATGTTTCTAGCCATAAACGCCTCAACCTTCTTGCACGGTCTGTATCAATTATTATTTTCAGGATTTGCAGAGATTCAAAACAATTAAAGACAGGAATTATAACTGAATTTCTTCTCATCTCATCCTAATTCCCAACTAGGGAAGAAAATTGAATATCAGCTGTAAAAAATCATCAAAATCATTACATAGCTTAAGTTTCACATAACCAGATCAGAGTAAACAAACAGACTCTTCTTATCAACGAATCTTTACAGAACAGATATCTCAGACATAGATCTATAGATCCAATTTCAAAACCATTATAAGATACAAAGACAGCAGAAAAAAAACAAAACGAAACTAATTTCACTTTAGTTTCCCTAACTCAGTTCTGTTTTGCTGAGATCTAATCAACTAAAATCAAATTGAACTCATTGAGTACATCCTTTTAACGAAATCAAAAAACCAAGGATAGAAACTAAGCTGTTCAGACATGAAGTCTTCAGATCTCGTTTATAAATCTACTAATCTATCCTTTTAGTCGCAAATATTACATAAAGATTGTCAAAACCTCAAACATCCATTACACGCTCCTCTAAAAACCTCCAACAAACGAATCTTTTCCAGAATCACTAAAAAATCAGATGGTAGCAAACTCAAATACAAAGCATGGAAATCTAAACCTAATATTACAAGAAACCAAACAGATATCCAAAAAAAAATTAAAAAAATTACAAAATAACGCAACTATCAAAAAACTTACTTACATAGGAGTTAGATCTACGAAACTCCTACAGATAAAGAGCACCGAAACCCACACCAGACGACTCCAAAATGAACGAGAAAGGAAGAAACGAAAATCCAAGAACTAGGAAATTGAAAAAAAAAAAAAAAAATCTAAAATCATCCTAAATGTATCGAATGAATCAAAAAACATCCGAGGGAAACGAAATATACCGTGTAGTTGAACGAAGATCGATCGAAATTTCTACGAAGGATTCTTTTTCTTTTTTTTTCTGCAGCGTTGAAATTTCAGTAGGTGGAGGAAACTGGGAGGAGATAAGGTAATAGAAAAAGAGGAAGGGGAGACTTTGATAATATCACGGGCAGGTGAGTCAAGGGGAGTTGGTATAATGAGGTGGCCAGCTTTGATTGGGTTTGGGAGTGGGGGAGGCTGGTTTTTTTATCGGTGATTATGGCGAGGGTATTTTGGGAAAGTTGAAACGTGGGGACTGTGACAATATAGGTGTGAAAAGAGACGGAAAATGCAAAGAAGAAAAAGAAAGACGACAACTTGAAGGTTTATTATTAGGGTTTCTTTCACAAATTGCCTTTGCCAAACTTTTCTGAAGGGTCATTTTGGTCTTTTTCTTTTTCATTTTTTCAATTTAATTAAATTTCTCAAAATAATTAAATACTGATGATATTTTATATGGTAATTAATTCTTTTTTTAATTTCTAACCTTTTAATTAAAAATAAAACAGTTGACATATGATATGTTTTATTTGAACGTTACATTATTATATTTTTATCTTTTTATTAAAAAAAAAAAAAAAAGTGTTAACGTCTTAGAAAAGAAAGATGGAAATAATTTTATGAAAATTCTAATATTATTTTTTATAGAATTAATTCGAAAATTAATAGGATTAAATCGAAATTAGCTAGAAAATGTAGGGACAAAACGGTAATTTGACGATATTTAAAATAAAATCTAAGAAATAAAATTATATGGTCATATTTAATGGGGTGGCAATGGCTGTGGCCACCTTTTGACGAATTCCAATGGCCAAACTTTTCCACAATTTATTTGTGAACTTATCAACTTGAATTGTCTTTAATTGGTGGGCCAATTGGAAAATGTTTATAAGTATTAAAAACGGTCGTTGTTTCGATTATATTTCTACGGTTTAAAATTATTTTATTTCAGTCCTTAGGATTCAGAATTGTCTTAAATGAATTATGATGCCGACTATTTTGTCAATTTTAGAATAAAGATAAAATTACGACATGTTAATTGATCACGAGCTTAGAATTTGATATCAGTAATGAACAATTGAGTACAAGTGGCTTCTCTCTCTGTTGTCATGGAATAGCGAGTTCGGGTTCACGTTTAGTTAATGTTGTAGGTAAGTATTTTAATATTGGTTTGTATAAGAGTGGTGTGCTAGTTTTTATTTATTTATTTATTATTATTATTATTATATAAATATAAAAGGAAAAAATGAAATTTGAAATAAGGTTGGCTTAAATGTCGAACTACAAGGTATATAACGTTTTAGATGTGTGGGGCTACGCCTCAAGCTTGAGACTTGGATCAAGTTTCAAGATCCGCATTCGACATCTGATGATCCTGACATTCTCGTACGATATGATCATATTTCTTACTTCTCATTTTTAAGAGTGAAGATTGTCCCTACATACCAACACAAATTCTTGTAACACATCATGTCCTCATTCACATGCTTCTTAGAAAAATTCTCGGGAGATAATTTAAAATATGTGTGGGGCAAATCAGTTGGATTTGATACATACGCTTCATGCTTAAGACTTGGATCAAGTTTCAAGATTCGCATTCGACATTTGATGGCCTTGACATTCTCCTACAATATGGTCACGTTTCTTACTTCTCATTTCTAAGAGTGAAGTCTGTCCAAACAGACCAACACAAATTCTTGTAGCACATTTTATCCTCACAAAACATGCTTAATTTTGAAATTTCTATGATTGAGTTACCGAAGAATAAAATGTACTTTGTATTATAGATAGTAACTTTTAATACTATTAAGTCTTTCTTAGTCGTCATATTCTCTAGATCGGGCTCATTCTACATGCACTTACTTCTCTACATGAATTGGCAGGTTAAATATGTGTCAGATCCAAGGTATCCTTATACAGAATTGATTAAATATGCACCATTTTTCATATGTATTGCATACTATATGCCCCCGATCGTGCTTTTAATTTATGCTAATATTTGGATTGGTTCAATGTGAGAATATTTGTTAAATCCACGGTACCTAAATGGTGGTAAAAGTTCTTTATTTATAATCATTTAGAGAATCAAATAAATTACATGTGATGTCTCGGGAGGAGAACAAAACACTTCTTTATAAAAATGTAGAAATTTTGCCCTAACAGAAACTTTTAAAGCCTCGAGTGAAAGCGCGAAAGAGAAAGTCCAAAGAGGACAAAACCATATGGAAAGAGCAATAAATGGATGCATATGGTAAGATATAATTCCTACTACAACTACCACATACCAATATTATCACAATAATATTTAATGTTTACGGGTGGAATAGAGTTCACAACTCAACCTATTTTCATGTTGTTTTTTTAATTATTTAAACAAATCTCACGTAATATTATTTAAACAAATCTGCCGTAATTTTATCTTTAAAATATAAAATCAAACTAAAACTTATTTGTAAAATAAAAATTAAAAAAGGTTAATTCTAAGTTTAAACACATATTAATGTTTAACATCCTCCAAATTTGATTTTAATAATAATAATAATAACAATAATAAATATTTAATAGATTCTTAATCTGATGGGTAACATATTTTAGAAGGTTTGATAGGTTGATAAATTTTAAATTTTTTTAAAAGAAAACACTAATATATACATTTGAAAATACAAACAATACAAAATTAAAATTAAATTGTCTAATAAAATCTTTTTATATCTAAAATTATATGAAATTTAAAAGATATTTAAAAAGATATATTAAATACAAAATTATAAGTCTTTGAACATTTTAGACACTCAATAAATTTTGAGCTTTCGAAACTAAAAAATTCTAATCGGAACATTTTGAACATTCAATAAATTTTAAAAGTCTATGTGAGTATTTTGAACACTCAATAAATTTTCAAAGTCTATTTGAGCATTTTGAACACTCAATAAATTTTAAAAGTCTATTCGAACCTTTTGAATACTCAATAAAAAAAAATAATAATAATAAAAATAAAATAAAACCTCTAATAGAAAAATAATAAAAATCAATAAAAAAATCAAAATAAATTTTACCCAAAATTAAGTTCGTTCCATATAATATTAACGGTAAATAATCGTATCAAAACTCACAACTCCATCTGAAAAAAAAGAAAAAAAAAGTCAAAATAAGTTTAGTTCAAGGATAATTGACATCTACTCTTCGGATATATACTCTCCATTAAGAAGAAAGAGTTTGAATTCTCCGAACACGTAGAAATAAAAAATGAAAAAAGAAAACTAAAAGAGAAAAAACATCTAGTCTAATGTTCTTAGATATATTACCAAATTAAACTTTTGCACCAAGGTATATAAACAAAACCAGAAATTGGCGTTAAGGGACTGTAGCAAATACCAACAGCAAAACTGCTACCCACTTTGTCCACTCAAATTTGGCTCATATTCAGCAGATCATTTCAATGGCAGCTGGTAGAATATGGAACTTCCTTGGAAGAAATCCCAGGTGTTCCCCATCAGCTTGAACGTAAATGCTGCCACTGCTCGAAACTTCTTCCACTTCGATCGAACGAACACTGCTCGAAAAAAAAACGCAACGATAAACTGATGATACTCGAGATTATTCAATCATTGGACGAGTACATTGATGTTGGTCCAGAATTTCAAACCAAGTTCATTATAGTCAACAAGATTTTAGCAATCATATATATAGCTTTGGTTGAGGATGCATCAGAATGCCAGAAATTTTAGCAACATAAAACTTCTCCTCGAGCTTCAGTGCTAGGTGAACAAAACATCTCCAATAAGTTTGGATGGAAGTTTTTATAAAGCAAAACTTGACAGAAGTGAACACAACGAATTCTCCATACAATTTAAAATGGAAGATCTATGGAAGAAAATACAGATATATAATGCTTAAAGAGATGACAAACCTTCTTGATGATACGTTTTTCACTGTCAAATGTGTCCCATTGTATATTTTATGTAAATTAAGGATGAAATCGTACCACTTGAAATCCTGAAGTATTACTAACTGCAACAAAAAACGAAGGGCAAGCGATACACGAATCAATGAGACAATGAAGGAAACAGTGAAATCAAATAAACTCCGGAAATAAATTCTACCTCTAGATTCCCATTGGAAGGATCGGCGTTCGGCACAATTTTCATTCCACCGCCAAAGTATTTAGCATTTCCAATACACAGGGAAGTTACTTGTGGATACAGCTCCCATTCACCGTTGTCAACCTGTAAGTTATAGCATACAACAGAAATGAAATCAAATCATGACGGTAAAAATGCTCTCTAACATGCTCTACATTTTGAAACCACCTAATGCACCACTGTTATTGTATAAAAATACATGAGTTTCACATCAGTTGGGAAAGGATAACGAAACACCCTTTATAAGGGTGTGAAAACCTCTCCCTAGCAGACACGTTTAAAAAACCTTACAAATCTGCTAGCGGTGGGGCCTAGGCTGTTACAGTTATATGCTGACCTTAATCTTAAGGTCTTTGTTTTTATGTCCTATAAAGCCTTGTAAAGCACCAATAACATAGCATAAGTTTCCAAATCTCTTGTATCTTGCAGCATAAAACCCAGCCTTAGCGCTCCTGCAAAAAGTTCCACACTATAATAATTAGTTGTCTGGTATCAGCTGAGTTAATCAGTTAGCATCAACAATACTGTTTCGATTAACCTTACAAATGAATGTCTGCAACATTGGCAAAGTAATGATACTCTCCATTTTCTTTATTGACAACCCCAATATCAATTCGGGACCTCAATCCTGAAGAGAATATGTTACATGAACAAAGAATGCTAATGCAATTTTTGGGTGAATAAATAGAGCCATTTTAAGTAATTAATCAACAAAAGGCAAAGAGATAAGAATGAAAAAAGTGAAACAAGGGTACCTTTAGCTATACGATCCACGGCTTCAATAGGATTGTTATTCCTAATTAAAAGAATGTTGACCCAGTTTGCTTAACCACATGGAGGAAGTGCTCTAATTTAAAGCAAGTTCTCACATTGTACAAAAACACAATGCAGTAAAACATGCACTTACCAACCAAATGTTCTTGCAAAATCTGAACCAGTCCCCAAGGGTATAAGCTGCAAGG